CTTACCCCCTTCTCTCGGGTTTCGGGGTATGATTTGACCCTTCAGTTCGGGATCAATTCCTCCATTTGTGCTCAATTTAAATCCATCTGCTCTCATCTATCCCAAGGCCTTGCTTTATTAGTTACCTCCTTCTCCTACATATTTTCCATTTTTCTCTTTGATTCCTTCACCTTATCTTAAAAACATTTAAAAGGCCATGTTGCAGACAAATCAATGGAGCAGAATTGAAAACCCAGAAGTGAACTCACAATGCTATAGTCAACTCATCTTCAACAAAGCAGGAAAGGATGTCCAATGGAAAAAAGACAGTCTCTTCAACAAATGGTGTTGGGAAAACTGGACAGCCACATGCAGAGGAATGAAACTGGACCATTTCCTTACACCACACACAAAAATAGACTCAAAATGGATGAAAGACCTCAATGTGAGACAGGAATCCATCAAAATCCTTAAGGAGAACACAGGCGGTAACCTCTTTGGCCTTGGCCATAGCAACTTCTTATTAGATAGGTCTGTTGAGGGAAGGGAAACAAAAGCAAAAATATTGAGACTTCATCAAAATAAAAATCTTCTGCAGAGTGAAGGAAACAATCAACAAAACTAAAAGGCAACCTACAGGATGGGAGAAGATATTTGCAAATGACATATCTGATAAAGGGTTAGTATCCAAAATCTATAAAGAACTTATACAACTCAACACCTAAAAAACAAATAATTCAGTTTTTAAAAATGGGCAGAAGACATGAATAGATATTTTTCCAAAGAAGACATCTAGATGACAACAGACACATGAAAAATGTTCAACACCACTTGTCATCAGGTAAATACAAATCAAAACTATAATGAGATATCACCTTATGCTGGTCAGAATGGCTAAAATGAACATAGGGGACAACAGGTGTTGGCAAGGATCTGGAGTAAGAACCCTCTTACACGGTTGGTGGGGATGCAAACTGGTGCAGTCACTCTGGCAAACAGTATGGAGGTTCCTCAAAAAGTTAAAAATAGAACTAACCTATGATCCAACAATTGCACTACTAGGTATTTACCCAGAAAATATAAGAACACTAATTCAGCAGGAGATACCCTGCCTTACATTCATTGCAGCATTATTTACAATAGCCAAATTATGGAAGCAACACAAGTGTCCATCAATAGATGAATTGATAAGGAAGAAGTGGTATGTGTATATGGAATATAATGGAATATTATATATGATATATGTATGGAATATCATGGAATATTACTCAGCCATAAAAAGAATGAAATCTTGCCATTTGCAACAACATGGAAGGAGTGAGAGACTATTATGCTAAGCGAAATCAGTCAGAGAAAGACAAATACCATATGGTTTCATTCATATGTGGAATTTAAAAAACAAAACAAATGAATATGGGGGAGGAAGAAAGGAAAACCAAGAAACAGATTCTTAACTTTAGAGAACAAATTGATGGTTACCAGAGTAGGGGTGGGCATGGGAATGGGTTAAATAGGAGATGGGGATTAAGGAGTACACTTATTGTGATGAGAACTGGGTGTTTTATGTGAGTGTTGAATCACTAAATTCTACACCTGAAACTAATATTACACTGTACGTTAACTGGAATTTAAGTAAAAACTTGGAAAAAAAGATAAATAAAAGACCATCTTGTCTTTCCCCCAAATTTCATTAATTTGGCCATTAATTTCTAACTAATGTTATGCTAAAGCATAGGTTTAATGGAGCTAGGATTTTATTGTCTCAGGATCACACACAGGTAACAATAAAGGTAGCTCAGTCTCCTCTTACATGTAAGTAGGCTTAAATTATATCTACTTTGCAGTATTATTGTTAGCGTTAAATGAGACACTACACTATGCATCATGGGTTCAAACAAACATTGGTTTCCTTTCCTTTCCTTCCTTTCTAGTTCCTTAAGCGTAGGGGCTGTGTCTAAATCATTTTTGGGTCCCTACTGTCTAAATCACTTTTAAATCTCTAATATTTACCCTAGTGATGAACACCTGATATAACTGTTTATTGAGTTTAACTACTCATCGAAACACTTTTGCACCTGTGTCTAGTACTTACGTTGAACTGTGAAAGTAGGTGTGGTTTGGAGAAAAGAGAAGCATGTGGAGAACCAGTGATGACTCAGCCTGCATCTTTTTTAGTCTGAAGATTACCAGATAGTAAGGAACAAATGAGTTCTATTTTTGTAGCTCAACCCCAATTCTATTTTATTGTAATTAATTTAGTGTAGTAATTCTATTTTATATTTTACTAGAATAAAAAAATTAACTTCTATGTGTCTTAATTGTTTTATCTTTATATGGGAGTAAAACAGTTATCTATCAAGTTAATCTATAAATTATTAGTAGAGTTACCTGAAGCAGCAGTGGATTACTGGAATAAAATTGGCTGTCTAAGTATAATTTATTTTTTTAATTGAAAAATAAATGAATGTAAGATCCCAAATTGACAAGTTTAAGACTTGCCTTTACAGAACGAGAAAAAAATAAGCCTTTGTTTGGGATCATGGGTAAACTTCCCTTCCAGAGGTCATTCAAGAAGCTAATTAATGATTGTAAAGCACTTTGAAAATATGAAGCTTAATATTCACCTAAAACGTGTAAAATTAGATGAGGTACTCAAACACCAGAGATACACTAGAGCTAATATATTAAAGAAAGAATATTATCTATCAGTTTTTTTAAATCGTAATAGCATTTTACAATGACCTTCTTCCTTGATGGTTACATTTCAAGGAGATGGCCCTAGGTGGCCTATAGTTACTTTGCCAAATCTAATTTATTTGTAATCACAGATTTTTAGAACTACAAGTGATTTTAGAGATAGTTTACACCAACACCCAGTTTTATGATGAGGAAAATAAAGTTGATGAAAGTTTACTTGCCCAGTAGCAGAAAGCCAGTCTGTAGCAGAGTCATGACAAGCATGTCTTCTGCTTCTCAGTGCAGAATCTCTGTAGATCCCTTCAGCAGCAGCAGCCTGGACCACGTCCTCTGAGCACTAACTGTGCACTAAAACTGCAGTAGGTGAATGATGTTAGCCTCTTGTGACCCTTTCAAGTGAGCTCCAGGAGAAACCAAAAACAAGAAGAATCAGAAAATCAGTCAAGTGGAGGCATGAGGGCAATATTTTTATTAAAATATGATAGAAACATAATGAATGTATTAAGATGACCTAAGGGTTTCACATGTATCTATGTGGAAATCAACAAACCTTAATTTTTACAACTGAACAAATTATACCATGTGATGTGCAGACCATGGAGAACTGCTTGCAAGCACCTCTACCCTCTACCTTTTTTATATATAATTCCCTGTAAACTGACAAGCTTTGGAGCAGTTTTTTTCTGCTGGGCTATAGTACTCAGTAGGATGAGGACTAAAGCATTTACTAACCCACTTGAGGTTGGCTTTTCTTTCCAGCTGATACTACCATTTAGCAATCCCCCCGTGCTGTGCAGCCAGGAGTGAATGCTGGATGGAAAACCAGAGGTAGGAACATTTTCAACTGTTGTTCCTTTTTCTCAGACTCAGACTTGTACCTTTAAGAATGTTACTGGTCTGATGGCCACTTTTTAAAGTACTCATGAGGTCCCCCTTTCAGGTGAGCCTTCCTCCTATTCTTTAGGAGTGAAACAGAAGCCAGTCAAAGGACTACTCATGCTCTCTCCAAGACAATGCTAAAACAACTCTCTGGCCTTTTCTGGGAGACATGGTTCTTTATTACCCTGGCAGTCAGGCCTGAGCTGGTGTAACTATGTGACTTTAGACCTAGGCACTAAGGGGTTTGCTGCAGTTTGAAGGTCATTGCTATTGGGAAAACTTAATAAAAACAAAATCTTCTGGCACCCCGATATAGAAGAGAAACTGTTTTATTATTGAATAAGCTTAAACCAGAATCACAATCTGCTAAACAGATTGCTGAGAGAAATCTCACCCTTTTAAATAGGCAAGCAGATAAAACCCATTCCATACATGTTTTCAAGGTAAACAATGGCTAGTCTTTGAGTAAGAGGACTTGGCAGCATCATTTGTCACACACAGTTCATCCTAAATTCACTCGGCAATTGGAGTGACCATTGTGTTAGCTAATAACCTTTATCCAAAGGACAAATAAACTTCTCAAATCTTTACGACAGGAGATAGTTTTGCAAGTTGAACTAGGAAATGGCTCTATCTTCCTTGATGGTTACATTTCAAGGAGATGGCCCCAGGTCCTGAGAAAGACATGGTTGGGTTGTAAAGGTGGCAGAGCTTTATCTACCCTTTTAAAAAGGATTTACATACATTTCAAGAAAGAATTTATAATGACAAGCTTTCTAAAGTAATGTTCTAAAAAAGGGAGTCTTTTCCCTTACTTTCAATAGGGAGAACTGTCTCTTATTTTAATGTGTATTCCCACCTGGACCAGAGGGTTGAGGTCATGGAGGCTCCTTACCCCCTCCCCTGCCCTTGGAATGTGGGTTTGACTTGCCTTTCCTGCTCCCAGAGGCTGCTCTGAGGACATAGCCTTTGATGTGAGGTGATGTTGAAAACGCCTGCAGGTATACACAAGACTGAGCCCAGTTAGGGCCTCTTTATAAGCTTTCTAAGATTTGGAGGGCAGGTGCAGGGACCCATCTGTCTTGCTGTCCATTCACCCAAGACAAGCCTCATATGTAAGTTGCCTTTGCTATTATTAAAATTGCTACCTACTAACATGGAGTGGCCTGTCTCTTTCTTCAGTCTCACCCTGCCTCTGGGACAGGGGGCTGGTTTCTGATCCACTGTTAGAGCTCCCAGGACAGCTGGGAGCTTACACTGCTTAATTGCCAAGCTGATTGAAACTGATTGTCACCCTCTTCAACTTCCTCCCCTGAGGCAGAAGCTGTGGGCCTTGGTTTCATAAAAACACAACTTTGTAAACTTATTTTGGACATTTCATATTAGGTGTCTGTAGAACTCTCTTAACAAAAATATGAAACAGCACTGAGCATAATTTCTAGACAATGCTTGAGCAAGGCATTTTGCAGGTATTTTGCTTTTTTTCTTCCATGGGTAGTTTATCTTCTGGGTGATAATCTTGTTGAACTTGGGGCACCTGGGTGGCTCATTCGGTTAAGTGTCTGATTTCAGCTCAGGTTATGATCTCAGGGTCCTGGGATGGAGCCCGCATTGGGCTTCCTGCTCAGCAGGGAGTCTGCTTATCTCTCTTCCTCTCCCTCTGCCCCTCCCCCTGCTCATGCTCTCTCTTTCTGTCCCTCAAATAAATAAAATCTAAAAAAAAAAAAATCTTAATAGTTACAGCCTGTGGTTCCAAGAGAAAAAAGAAAAACCATTGTATAGTGATTTCAGGGTTTCCCTTAACTCTGGGTTACCTACTGCTCAGTCCCTAAGTGCAGGATCATAGTGAGAATTTTCTGCTGTTTTGTATGTGCCAGGCCCTGTTGCAAGTGCTTTAAATATATTATTTCATTTAAACCTGAGTAAAACCTTTTGAGGTTAGCACTCTTAATACCTGCACTTCACAGATAAGGAAATGAAACAGAAAAAGTTCTTAATTGGCTAACTGTGACACATCTAGTGAGCCTTATAGCTCTGCCTGAGGCCCAGGAGTCTGACTCTCCCGTCTATGCCCCACTAACACAGAGAACAATGCAATGGCTGACAGCTGGAGCCCCAGAGCCAGCCTGGGTGGCTCAGACTCTGTCACTGTTAGTTATTAGCTTCTCAGTTTGCCTAATTGTTCTGTGTCTCAGTTTCCAAATGGGGATAAGAATAGTATAAACCACAAATGCTTGTGAAGACTAGGACACACGTAGGGTGCTGAGCGCCGCCTGACACACAGAGAAAGTTGAGAAATATTAGCTTTCAGGAGTAATACATCCTCAGGCATTGAAGTCAAACCCCTTGGCTCCTGCCTAATTGAAATAACTCCTTATATTTGGAAGTGGCCTCTTTTTTTCATGCCCCCAGTCTATTCTTTAGTCATGCTGAACAGTGCTACAAGTTCTCTAAATTATATTTATGCCACTGCCTTTACAAGATGGCAACAGCCTCAATGCTTATTCGTTCAGCAAATATTTGTGGAAGGCTCACTATGTACCAAGCTTTTGATAGAAGGGTGGCTTAAAAAAAGACACTCACCCCCACACCCTAGTATATAAAAGAGAGGGCAAATGATGTGAGGGCTGGTACCTTAGTGGGGGAAGACAAATATGGAAACAAATACTATGAAGACAACAAGCAGTTTTTTGGCTGTCACCAATGGGTTATTTATACTACTGAAATGAATGGCAAAAACACATTTTGGGATGTGGATGGAAACATGGTGCCCCCTGAATGGCATTGCTGGCTTCCCTGTATGACCAATGATCCTCCAACAACAAGACAACCCATTGCTCGTAAATTCATCTGGACAAACCATAAGTTCAATGTGAGTGGCACTCCAGAAAAATGTGTACCTTATTCTATCACTAGAAAGAAGATTCAAGAATGGGTCCCACCTTCAACACCTTACAAGTAAAGACACTGGAAAACAGTTTGAACATGTGAAATATGGGGCTCTTCATGCAATTGCACTTTTACTGCTTACTATTCACTTGATTAAAATTGTTTGATTTAAAAAAAAAAGAGCTGCAAAAGGAAAATTCGGAGCTCTATGAAAATGTGTAGTAAGGGCAAAGGTGATGGACATGGAGCTGGTAAACTTCAGGGCTCCTTAAGCATACAGCCCTTCCAAGATGCCAGGGCCATTTATTTTCCAAAATTTGCAAAAGTAAAATACCGTACCATTAGTGGTTAAGATAACTGTTTTCATTCCTACTTTTATTTGTCTTTGTGCCCTGCTCTCTCTTTCCCTCTCAGAATCATGAGAAGGGCCCCAGGTTTTACACAGGCCTTTGGAGAGACCTCTCTGGTATTCAGTTCATAGTGGTTATTTTTTCCCTAGCTGGCTTGTTCTCTTGAAGTCCAACCCTCTGCCAAGGTGTACCAAGCTTGGTGCATAATCAGTTAAGCCAAGTACCCAATGTCTTCCCTGCCTGAGTATATTTTATGGCTCTTCTCCTCTGACTGGTGGTAAAGTGTGGGTCTACCTAAAATGTGTCCAATCGCCTTTCCTTCCCATGTATAGCATAGTGGTTGTGGTAGGCAAAATTTTAAGAGGTCCCAATAATCCCTACCACCTGGTATTCACCCCAGTTATAATCCCCTCCCTTTGAATACAGATGGGACCTGTGACTTGATTCTAGCCTACAGAATATGGCAAAGGTGAAGGGATTTTGCAGATGTAAGTAAGGTCCTAAATCAGCTGATTTTTAGTTCATCGAAGGAGATTACGATTATTCTGGGAGGGCCTCACTTAATCAGGTGGTTATCCTTAAAAGAGGGACTGGAGCCTCTCTGAGGTGAGAGATTCTCCTTGCAAGCTTGATAAAATAAGCAGTCACCCCAAGGAAGCTCATATAGAAAAATTATAAGTGACCTATAGAAGCTGAGGGTGGCCTCCAGCCAACAGTCAGCAAAAGCTGTGGGCCTCAGTCATACAGGCACAAGGAAATGAATTCTGCCAACAACCTGAATGAACTTGGAAGCAGATTCTTCTCCAGGTGAGTCCAGATGAAAACATGGCCTAGTGGACAACTTGATGGCAGTCTTTTGAGAGCCTGAGCATACCTGGATAGTCCTAGAGTCTGTCTAGGACTATCTATGACCATATCTGGATTTCTGACCCATAGAAAATGTGACATAATGAATATGTATCATTTTAAGACACTAATGCTGTAATATCTCTGTGGAAACAAGATAGATTCCCATCCAAAATTTAGTTTGGATGTCAAGACTGATGATGCCACACACACACACCCACACACCATGAGAATATAAAAATGTTTACTATTTATGTAGTGAGACTGTTTGGGAGGACAGAGCAGGCCTCCTGAGCTGATCTAAAAATGGTTTGACAGAGCAAGTATTATGGGCTCAATTGTGTCCCCTCCAAATTCATATGTTGAAGTCCTAACCCCTAATACCTTACAATATGAGAAATAGATCAAATCATCTATTTTAGAGATAGGGCTTTAAAGAGATAATAAAGTTAAAATGAGGTCATTATGGTGGCCCCTAATCCAATATGACTGGTGTCCTTATAAGAAGGGGAAATTTGGACATAGAAATGTAAAGAACGAAAACCACGTGGAGACAGCGTAGGAAGGCACCATCTATGAGCCAAGGAGAGAGGCTTCAGAGGAAACCAATCCCACCAACATCTGGATATCAGATTTCTAGTCCCCAGAATTGTGGAAAAAAAAAAAAATTTCTATTGGTTAAGCCACTGAGTCTGTGCTATTTACAGTGGCAGCCCTGGAAAATTAATACAGTAAGGAAAAAAGAGTGGCTTGGGGGGTTTTATTGTGATTAGGGGCTGGTTAGGGGTCAGAGTGTGGGTATCCATGTGTGAGAAGGGGCTTGACTGCAGCGCCAAAGGAGAGAGTATCTGGGCTTTTCTGTTCACTTGCCCAGCTGACCCAAGACATAAGAGAAAGGGAGGTATGAGCCTTAAAAGTTACCAGCAGTCAACATCAACAAATGAGGACAGATTTTTGTTACAGCTAAGGTGGTGGTAATTTGTTACATTCTAACAGGAAAAAAAAAATACAGTGGTAAAGAGCTCAGGCTCTAGGGCTTAACTGCTGGAATCCCATCCCAGCCCTACCACTTAAAGGCTGTGGAGCTTGAGGCAAGTTCCTCACCTACTCTGGTTTATGCCTCTGGAAATAGGGAAAATAATAATAAGCCTTATAGGGTTGTGAGAATTAAATGAGGGTGGTTGATAGTGTGCCATCCCATTCTTAGATCCCTTGGGCCTTACCACTTCAAGGCAGCATGTATACCAACTACAGTGCCTACATTTCTTTTCTTGAGATCTTTCACTGAAACCCTGATGCCAAGTCCACAGGAGAGAAGGTCTGGAGAATCAACCTCTACACCTAGCAGCCCTCACCCATTGAAAAAGGAGTGGTGTGTAAATACTCCAGCTCCCTCATTTCTCAGGTGAGATTTCTCTGAGGCAAGTCTGTTAGCCCATTCAGGCTGCTATAACAAAAACCATAGACTGGGTGACTCATAATCAGAAATTTATTGCTCGCAGTTGCAGAAGCAGGAAGTCTGATGCTAGCATGGTCAAGTTCTGGTGAGAGCCCTCTTCTGGGTTGCAGACTGCCCACTTCTCCTCGCATCTTCACATGTTGGAAGGGATGAGTTAGCTCTCTGGGACGTCTTTTATAAGGGCACTCATCTAATCACTTCCCAAAGACCCCACCTCCTAATACCATCACCTTGAGGGTTAGGGCTTCAAACTATGACTATTCAGTCCATAGCAGCATGTTTTCTCCATCTTCTTCCAGAGTTTCCTCTGTGGTGTTAGCATTCATTACCCACAGTGTCTGCTTAGCTGAATAACTTATCCTGTATTGCCTGCCTGTTTTCCCTACTGGTGATTCCCAAAGTTCCCAAATGAGTCACTTGCACTGGATCCCTGTTCCCTGATCTGCTTTGGGGGGACGTAAGGTAAGACAATGAGTTAATACTGTAAAGGCACTGTCAATGCCCTCCAGCCAGAGTCCACCAGGGACACACCTACGATCAAACCAATTGGGTTCATTAATTTTTGCAGCAAGGAAGGACACCATAGTTTACCATGGTGTGTCTAAGTAAAAGGGTGTTAGAAACCTGTTACAGGATTTGGACTTTGGTTGGATGACGAAAGAGATGGTGTAAGGAAGTAGGCGGTTCACCCTAGGTTGGACGCTGTCAGAAAGCAAGGGCAATTTATGAAGGAAGATCTGGAGTGGATCTGGAAGGAAGATAAATTTTGTCTGGAGTGAAGGGATACTAGAATGAGGTAAAAGCTGTAATTGGTAAAGAAATAGTCACTCATTTTAGCCACGAGACAGGTTGTTAGGTATTTTGGTGGGTAACAACCATGATCTTTTTGTGCTTAGACAAAGTTATAAAGTTGGCTTGCTTTGTCTCACCTTCTGATCTCGGAGTCAAGTGGTGAGGTTGGTATTCTGTGAGATGGTTTATATTTAAAAGGAGATTAGCGTGGACTACCTGTGAGTGCCAGGCCAGGTTCTGAATGTCTGCTTTATGTTCTTCTTTCTCACCACTTTGTAAACTCTCACCGTCACCTACCATCAGCCTGAGCTTGGGGCTTCACATCCATCCTCTTTCAATCGTCACAATAATGCTGAGTCAGGTATGAAAAGTCACATTTTAGAAGTGAGGAAGAAAATGTGATCTGAGTTTATGCAGCATGTCAACAGGTACCTGACATTAAGATGGAGAATGATGTACTAAAGGCACGCCTTGGCTTCTAACCTGTGTATTACTCCCTTTGCGAGAAAAGCAAAGGTGGCACCCTAGGTCAAAGCTCAGCTGCCTCTGGGCGATAGGGGGCAGCGTGTCCCGCGGAAAGTCAAAGCCGCCCAGAAGCTGCGCCTTTTGTTAGATTTCAAGCGCTTCGCCCCTGGACAAGGGAGGCTGAGTTTTAAATCCAAGATGTTACTACTCTGATGATGTATGATTCAGCGCCACACCAACCACGAATTAGACTAGAGGTACGGGGCGCGGGGCGTCGCAGTCACCGAGACCCGCCCCAGCTCCCCTCTCTCCGCTCCAGCCCCGGGCCACCCCAGCTCCCCTCTCCCGGCGCCAGCCCCGGCCCCGCCTCCGCTCTGGCCCCGCCCCCTGCTCCCCTCTCCCCTTTCCGCCCCAGCTCCCCGCGCCCGCCTGGTCCGGCCGAGCTTCCCGCGCCCGCTAGGCCCAGATCCCGCCCCCGATCGGCCCCCGCCTGGGGCAGGTCCCTGCCCCGGCGCCCCGATCGCGCTCCCGATCGGTCCCCGCCCCGGCTCCGGCCCCGCCCCCGCTCCCCGGCCCGGCCCGGGTCTGCCCCGGCTCCGTAACCCGGCCCCGCCCCCTGAGCCCTGCGTGTTTCCCAGACCAAGTCCTGGAGGTCCAAGATGGTGCTGCTAGGCCGGGTTTTCCTTGGTCGGGGCCACGGTTCTCGGCGGGTAAGGCGACGCTGGAGGGACTGAGGGCCCGGCTCGCCCCTAGCGAGTGCCCTGCCCGTACGGGTCTCTGGGACGGCGCCCGGGGGCGGGCACAGCGAAGCTTCGGACCCCGGGATGAGGGGAGCCAGGACAGGGGATTCCGGGGCGCGGGGACACGCGGGGGAAGTGGGAGCCGGGGGATTTGGGTTAAGAAGGAGCAAAGTCACATTCTGCTGTCAGAGAAAGTGTGTGTGAAGTGCATGGTGTGGCTCTCAAAGTTTTCATGTCCCTGGAAGCTTCAAAATTGTGTGTAAATAGGTAGAAAGACTGGAGGACACTGCACACGTTGGCCCTTTGAGGGATGGGAGAGGAACTGGGGTGGGAGTGGGGTCCGGAGGGAGCACTGGCCTTATATCCTTATATGAGTCCTTGTTTTATGAGGAAAATCCATTCATGTGTTAGTTGTGCAAATTAAACATATAATACAAACATATTCACTTAATTTTTATAAGAAAAAAACCCAAACTCAGCTGTCTAGACTCCCCTTCCTAGAGATAAAGCTGGGAGAGTTGTATCTTAGGCTGGCTTCCACCTCTATCTCCCCCATGCTTTGGGAGAGGCAACTTTTCGTTTTGTCAACTTATGTATGTCCATTGGACCCAGAGTCTAAATAAATAATGCAAATGAAGACAGCTGGAGAGGATAAGAAAGAGAAAGGAAGATATAGAAAAAAGCAGTAATATCCAAGACAGTCCCTTCCCCCAAGCAAATTAAAAAATTTTAATAAACTAAACTAAACCAAAAAGTTCAATTTCATTAGCCAGGTAGAAATTATTCTGCCAGCCATGAAAAAAAACCTTTTTTAGTCCAACAGAATGGGCAGCCATGGTGTTCTTTTTTGAAAACCGGAGACAGTAGTTACAAATGTGAACATGAGGAAATAGTATGGTTAAGTCTCTCAAGTAAGAGAACTTTCTTTGAAAAAGTGGTATTTGTTCAACACTAAGGTTTTGTTGATACTGTTTTCCTGTAAAGATCTTGGTTATAAGTCATTGTGAAAGAAACCTGTGTTTTCTGGCCTCTTTTCCAACTTTCTCTGTGTACAACAGCTCTGTGAGGTAGAAGAGCCTTCAGAGGTCATCGTCTCCCCTACCCCTCAACAAATCATTAGGACTGTAGTAATAAGGTCACACAGACCATACCCCAACTCTTCTGACACTATTAGTACAGTATGAGAGGGAGAAAATGAACTCATTTAAAAATTAACTGTAATCTGACAATTTTGAAATTCTTTTGCTTAAGAAAAATAGAAGTTTTGAGGATCAGGGTTCAGAGCCAGCAAAGGCGCCTTTTGGTGTGTTTTGTTTTCCTGGCACATGCAGCCTTGGGTTTGAATTCCTGGGAGAAGCATTTTCACATCTGTGAAGTGGGAGATTGTTCCAGGGAACATCCTGTTTTTGTGGGCAAATACTAGTTATTACAATTAAAACTCCTAATTTGAGTATTTTTGTTACCAAGAACCAAGAGAAATGTTTCATTTGTTAAACGTCAAATTGGCAAACTGGCTCTGTGCCCGGCCCTGGGGTTGCAAAGATGGAAAAAAAAAATGACCTCTGCTCTCAAGTTGCTCTCAGGAAAATGTGCACACATTAAGTTGTTTATCAGGAAATGCTAACTAAGTGCCTGTTAAATGTTGGGCATTCTTTGGAGATAACTTGGTTGAAAAGGTATCTGTACTATCCTTAAGCCTCATATATATTTTTCAAGCTATGGATAATCATGAGTAGACATGGAAATCAATTTTGTGGAGCAAAATGCCTTTAAGAAAAATAGAATAGAGTATGAAATACCAGAATTCATCTCATGTAGTAAGGTTAAGTTTACTTTGTGAAACTTTTTTTTAATTTCCCATTCTTCCTTTTGTGGATTAATTATTAATGTCTGTGATGCACACTGCCATACTTCCTTTCCTTTTGTTTTTATCAAGAGATTATAATAACTTTAGGATTTTTATAAAAATGATACCTGACTAATATGAATTCAGGTAATATAGTTAAAAAAAAGTAACACAAGACCCTAAACTGGCCACCCAGAAATAACCAGTCTTGACATTTGGTGAACATCATTCCAGGTGTCTGTGCTAGTAAAAAGGATGGGTGCATAGGCATAATTTTGCTTGGATGTATTATGTTTGTTTTCCCCTTAGAACTGAATCAACATTGTTTTCATTGTCTTCTAACACTGAATATTGTCAGGGAAAAATGGAAGGCCAGTGGATTTTTTTTTCCTTGTGTGTTTTGAGTTTTCTTTCTTTCTGAGCTTTCCTATCTGAAAAGCTTAAGAAATCTTTCTGTACCCAACCTAAAATTCCAGAATAGAAGCTTCTTGGAGGCAAGGATTTATATCCTTTGTTCACTGCTGTATTTCTAGGCCTAAAAGAGTGCCTAGCATAGAGTAAACATGTAATAAATACCTGTTACATGAATGAATGTGTGTACTGTGTTGCAATATAAAGTGTATTTTTTGCTCTGCTTTATAGAATACATAAATGTCTGAAAAACGGTAGTCTAGTAGGTCACACAGGATATGAGTAGACTGAAAATGCAGAGGTATGTTAGAATGCATATATAAACAAAATGGTGTGTGCCTGGAGGAGGCAGGGAAGGCTTCATGGAGGAGGTGGCTTCCAGGGCTGACTTTTAAAGGAGGACTTGGAATATATGGGGCCTCAAATATGTTCTAGACCTAAGGAATAGCATATTTCAAGAAGTGAGGGAGCATAGCCTATTTCTAAAAAAAAGTGGCTTAGTATTGTGGAGTTTAAAATACAGGGTCAGAGAAGAGTGCAATGGAGATGAGACTGGAGAGGTTGCTGGGGTCAGGGCATGGTGGGCTTCACTCACTCATATGGCAAATTGGGCATTTACTATGTGCTAGGCAGGGTACTAGGGATATGAGGATGAGAAAGAGCTGATTCCTGCTCTCAGGAAGCTTATAATAGAATGACCTTATGGTATAATATGGTAAGTATTATGATGAGTGTTCTTGATCTCAGAAGAGGTCCAAAAATAAAGCATCTCTCTTCTCCAGTTTGGAAAACAAAGAGTAAAGATAGAGGCCAAAGTATCACGTATTACCATTCCATGTGAGAGCCAACTGGCCCTGTTAACTGGACTTTCTGAATTAGGCAGACTTGCTGCCTCAGAAGGACAGTAGAATTGCTCTCTGAGGGCAGCTAACTCTCAAGAGGAGGAAGGCTGAAGGGCCTACTCATGCCCAATTATTCTCTCAAAATGTACCAGTCAAATGTATCTCTGGAGACCGGGAAACTAAGGATGTGGAAAGAAGCCCGGAGTTACACTAACTGAGCTCCCCTCTGGAAAGGAAATATCAGGATTGGGGAAGAAGCATTTCCCACTCGCAGTGGGAGGAGTGTACAATTTTTATGGAATATATTTTGGGGTACACATCTAGGCTGAGACCTGAAGGATGAACAGGAGTTAGCTGAGGGGAGGAATATGAGAAAGTACTAGGTGGGAGAGTGGCTTGTGTAAAGGGCCAGGCTAAAGTGTATAGGTAGAGAGTAGGGAGGCAGGTGGGGAGAGGCTAATGAGCAGAAGCTAATGAGCAGCCAGTGTGCCACATTAAAGAGAGCTTTGTCCTGACAGCATGGGCATGGGGGTAAAAACAGAGGCATGTAATCAAATCTGGGTATTCCTCTCTCCATGGTGGCCTCAGATAAGGAATGGCTGTAGATGCAGAGAAACTCAAAGTCAAGTGATATTTAGGAGGTAAATTGAGAGGCCTTGGCAATTAGGAGGATTGGGCCATATTGAGGTGATACAGCACCATCACAATTGTGAGCAGGGAAGTAATATTATCAGGTAAGACTTGAGATAGGGAGACGGGAAGTCAAACAAAAGTGATAGGAGTCTGTACTATGGGCAGCATTAGAGCTATTTAGGACTAAAACAAACTGGACTTTGTGGTTTGGATGTACTCTATGAAATTAAGCCCAGATTTCTGTCTTTGGCCCTTGAGCTAAGGGCCATGCCACTGAGAGAGGGCACTTACCAGGGGGAACTGGTTACAGGGATGGAGATAAGAATGTTAATTCTGTCTGGGAGTGTTAGGGAAGGCATCGGAACTCTTAGAACTACCTTTGAATGATGAATGTTGAGTGATGTGGGGATCGATTTGGTATAGATAGGAAGGTAGGAAACAGTTTATGTTTGGGGAACCCTGTGTATTTTGTTTTCCTGAGTGCAGATTTCAAGGGGGTAAAGCAGAGGGAAAAGAGGCTGGAGAGATGGACAAGAGTCAAGTCACAAGGACTTGACATGCTGTGTGAAGCTAAGGAATCAACTTTATGCAGCTACCGGGGAGCTATAGATTGATCTTAAGGTGAAAAGTAGCATGAGCAGATTCTCAGTATTCTGGAGGGCAGCATCGCAGATGGGCTGGAGAGGGGAGACACTGGAGGCCAGAGACAAGAGATGACAAAGTATGACCTCTGTATTTGTGGGTGACAGGAGATACGCACCTGTGAAGTCAAGTGGTGGATAGAGAGGAAAGATACTGACTGGGAGGTAAAATACGTGGGACTGGAGATGAATTGGATTTATCAGGTGAAGAGAAAGAGGCCTTGAAGGAGTCACTAGAGGGAGTCCCATAGATGAATGGTGGTTTCAGAGCTCAAATATGCATGTGAAGAAATTTCAAAACAAACTTCCTCCCAAAACTATAAAGCTAATTTTAGAATATTAAAAAATATGTACATCTACACAAAGATCATTATAAAACACATCAAAAGGGGAGGGAATTTCTAAAGTTAGGGTTGTCTACAGCCCATAATAAAGGGCATTCCATCAAGGTTTGGCAACCCTTTGTTTTAAAGAAAATTCCAGGTAGAAAATGATTAGCATTCTCAGCTATCCTATGCTGTTCTCTCCCTGAGGTGATGATTCACCTTGGAATCAGAAATGCCTGGGTAACCTTCAGTTTGTTACCTGGGGTGGTGG